GGGGGGGGGGGGGGGGGGGGGGGGGGGGGGGGGGGGGGGGGGGGGGGGGGGGGGGGGGCTGCTTCTGCCATCGTTTCCGGGCCCGGTCGCGTGTGGGCGGCCTGGCCAAGATGCCCGCCGCAGATGGGGGGGGGGGGGGGGGGGGGGGGCCAGGTGTATATCCATATGGCCATGGGTGTCTCTCTGTGCACGAGGCACAGCGCCACAAGGGGCGGAGAGGGCCAGGGGGGGGGGGGGTCCTCCCTCGCCGGGTGACGCTCCCCCCGCCCCCCTGGGAAAGCACAAAAGACCAAACGAGCGGAGCAAGGAAAGGCCATGCGCGTACCTGGATGTGCTTCTGCACGACGGCCACAGCCCGGGCGAGGTTCGCCTCGGTCAGAGCATAGGCAACGATGTTCTTGCCAGCACGAGCGAAGGTGAACTGGTTGCTGCCGGTGCGCAGGGAATAGGCGTTGATGCTCTTCCCGCCGGCCGGCAGGGGGATGGTCTCCTCCAGGAACGGGTGGGCCTTGATGGCCTGCGACATGGCGGCCACATCCTCCGGCGAGCCGATCAGGTTGAGGGTCGAGTTGCCGGCCGTCGTGGGCCGGGCCTTCGGCGAGAGGGACATGCCGCGCAGCAGGGCCTGGTAGATGAAGGCCACCGGCGCGTCGAAGGTGTGCTTCTCCTGTGGCGACACACACACACACAGAGAGAGAGAGAGAGAGAGAGAGAGAGAGAGACGGCGAGACATGGGCAGGGGAGGCAAAGGTGCACGGTGAGTGGCAAATGGAGATGGCAAAGGCAGGCCGGGCCAAACAGCCCATCGGGGGAGGGGCCCGGGATGAGAAGGGCATGCGCATGCACACAAGGGCACCGCCCGGCATGAGGGAGGAAAAAGGGGGGGGGGGGCAACAGAGATGCAGCGAGAGGGGGAGAACGGGGCGGCGCCGGCGCCGGCGACGGGACACGCACCGAATCCACAGACAGATCCTCAATCAGGGCATTCACCTGGGCACGGACAGACTCCGCGGCAGACGGCAGGACGTAGATCTGCAGCTGGTCACCCTCGGAGAAGCGAGAGCTGTTGGCCTTGAGCGGGGCCAGGATGTTCCGGATGTTGACATGCTCCGAGCCCAGGACACGGGCGATGAAGCGCTTGGGGATGGTGAAGTTCAGGGCCACGCTGGCGGCGTGGAACTTCTCCAGCTCCGCCACGGCGGCCTTGGCCTGGGTGACGGCGGTCCGGGGGCCGGAAATCCGGATCGAGTCCTTGCCCACCGGCGAGATGTTGACCAGGAACTGGTCACGCAGGGAGCTCAGGCGGAAGCCCAGCCGCGGCAGGGCCAGGCGCTCCTTGGCAATGAGGTCCGCGCTCAGGGGGATGGTGACATTGAAGTTGTGCTCCTTGTGGTAGGACAGCAGCTCCTTGAACTCCTCGATGGCCTTGTTCACATGGAACTCCAGGCCGGTGAAGATGATCTCCATCTCGGTGTCCGTGTCGGAGGTCTTGGCCTGGACCGAGTGACGCTGCTGGATCAGGCGCATGTTCTGCCCGCCCTGGCCCATGACCAGGCCGATGAACTCCCGCGGGATGCCCAGCGACTTGGTGGTCATGCTGCCGCCGGTCAGGGCCGCCTGGCGGCGAGCCTCCAGCACCTCGGAGATGCTGCGGATGGCCGACTCACTGCCGGTCAGGTGAACAGTCACCACCGAGGCAGCCAGGAAGGCATTGGCCGAAGCCGAAACCCGGGCCCGGTTGGGGTTGCTGGCGGTGCGGACCAGCGAGCGCAGGATGCCCAGAGGCACCTGCAGGATGGCCGGGGCATCGGCCGAGGCCGCATCCTCGGCATCCTCGGCCACATCGGCCACCATCATGAGGGACATGGCCTGCTGGCCGAGCAGAGCCACCAGGGCCTGGCGAGTGAGCCCCTTGCTGGCGTCCAGCGTCAGGGCGCAGGACACCTCGAACAGGGCATTCTCATGCGAGCCCACGATGCTGGCCACAAAGCCACCGGCATCCGGGCCATCGATGAAACGCCACGCGCTGGCCGGGAAGCTCAGCTCGCCGGTGAAGCTGTACTTGTTGATGTGGTCCTCGGCATCCATGCGGGCCACGCCGATGATGTCCCGGGCGAAGGGCAGCGACTCGGCCGGGCCGGTGAGGGAAATCACCCCGGCCGCCTCATCCACCGCCACATACACCTCGGGCAGCTGGGCCTGGATGCGCTCGCACACCACCGGGACCATCTTGGAAAGGACCTTGCCCGGGACCGGGACCTGCTCGGTGGGGCAGGCCTTGCGCTGGGAGATGGCACCATTGAGCAGCGTGCGCGCGGCATTCAGCGAAGCCTTGTTGTCCGAGGCAATCAGCAGGTTGGCCAGGGCCCCGGTGGCCTCATCGGCCGGGGTGAAAACCACACTCACGCCGGCCAGCTTGCGAACGCCCTGCATGGTGGGGCTGTCCTCGCCCGGGGCCGGGCCCACCACGAAGGGCACCAAATCCTCGGTGAGGGCAAACTCCACGTAGTTCAGCGAAGAGTAGTGGCTGAGCAGGGAGAAGACCCGCGTCACATGGTCATTGTAGGCCGACCGCAGGCACACGAAGAACACGCGGTTGGGCTCGACCTTGATGAGCATGTCCAGCGGCGCGTCACGCACGATGTCGGCGAACTTGTCCTCCTGGCGGGCCAGCCGGTAGGCCGACTGGGGCTTGAGCTCGAACTCGGTCGACCGGTACATGGACAGGATCTCGTTGGCCATCAGGAAGGCGGGGTGGTGCTTGGACGCGTCGCCGAAGATGGTGATGGTGTCGGAGTCCTCGGTGGCCGAGCCGCGGGGGACCACCACGCAGCCGGTCTTCTCGAAGATGGCCTTCAGGTTGGAGCCATCCTGACCGCGGAGAAGATCATGCAGGAAGGACTCGACCGAGAAGCTGAAGGAGGTGACGGACTCGCGGAGCTTGTCCACCTGGGCATCGAGCTGGCCAATGGCCTGCACCAGGGGACCATAGTCGCCGGTCAGCTTGATGGTGGCCTTGGCCGCGTTGCAGGAAACCTTGAGGCCCTTGGTGGCGGCGAAGTTGTTGATGTACGACTCCTCCGGGCCGACCACGAAGTCGAACAGGTGGCTCGGGGTGACGGTGAAGGTCTCGGAGGTGGTGGTGACGCGCTCGCGCACGAACTCCTCGATCAGGCGCTTGGCCTCGCGCACGGCCAGCGCATTGCCAATGAGCACGGTGTGCTCGCCGACTGCCTGGGCATTGGGGACATTGATGGTGGCGCCGGAGGCCTCCTTGATCTTCTGGATGTTGGAGCCACCGGGGCCGATCAGCTGGCTGAAGAGGCTGGGCGGCACCAGGACGGTGTCCTTGACGCTGCGGAGGATGTCGCGCATGAAGCGCTCCTTGACGGACTCCAGCGAGTGGGCATTGTTGGCGGAGAGGGTGAACTCGATCTTGCTGCCGGCGGTGCGACGGTCGATGTGGGCGTCTATAC